CCCCAAAACCCCAAAACCCCAAAACCCCAAAACCCCAAAACCCCAAAACCCCAAAACCCCAAGCATAATTTTCATCGTTGAGGGTAAGATATAATGGCTATATTTTAGACAAGACGAGGTAGATATTTATCCAAAACCGCATTTAAATGGCAAGTTTATACTTAGAATCCTTCCCAAAAATATGGAATTCAAGATCAGACTCAATCGGGGTGACCGACTAGCCCGGATGTTTATCCTCTGATTAATTTCTTCTAAGAATACCTTTTGAAAAGATTATCAAGCTATTGAAAATAGTATAAGATTTCGTTATAATTGCTATTTTCTGATTTCTTTATCTAGATATCCCATATAATGAGAGGCTAAATACTTATTTTTTAATTCATAAGATTCTGTGTAAATTTTGGGCTATTACACAGTTAAAATTTGTAAATTTCCCCATATTTTTTGGGAGCGATTTCACCATCTAAGTTTTGAAATAATAACAAAATCTCAGATTTGGTTGAAAATTTTTACGTCTTTGAAATTATTAAATCGCTGCTAGGCTAACAACAACTTGTAGAGAAGCTGGGATGGAAATGAATGCTACTCTTTGTGACCTCTACAGATGGCATCTTTGCTCACACTTCTTTGTTCCGAAGACTCTGAAGGGGGCTTATTTCGTTATTAAAAACTCTCATTCTTGAATAATCTTAATGAATCAAATTAATAATATTTGCGATCAAATTCTTCAAATTAGATGAAAATCTATGAGAAGCTAGTTTAACTTTTCATAACTTTTTACATAAATGGTCCCTCGGTGAAAAGAACACAGAACTTATAGATATTAAATCCCAGGAGAAAGACTCATGCCATTTTTGATACATCTGCTTCGAAAATTTCCCTAATTTTTAAACGAAGTTTCAAACTTGATATTTCCCAAATGGACTCTTAGTAATGATTTAGCTTTATGGTTGATGAAGAATTTAGAAGGCTAAATTTTTCGTGTCACCAACTACTCTGCTTCTAATCCTTCCTTCTTCTTGTTTTGTTCTTGCTCAACTCAATGCTGTGTTTGTTCCTCATATGCGCCTACATAAAGGTGAGCATTGGTGGTGTAGGACTTACTTTATAATTATATCTCTCTGTGTAACTGCTAGAGCATATATCTCATTTGAACTTTTTACGATCCTGAATATTTGGAGTCAGATGCTGTTTTTCATGCTTCTTCAGATTTCCCTTCTGTGTAAACTTCCTATCTCAATACGAGCAGTGAAAGGGCTTCACTTTTTCGTGCATTCTGAGGTGATCGAGAAGATTCCAAACTCTCAGGAACACTTTTCTGCAGGAGCCATATCCACAAATATACTCAGTTTTCATTGAAGTACCTATAGGTATGTTAAGGTCTGTATGTCATAAAGAAATAAAAGGCTACCTCTCCCATTATTATCTGAGCTCTTCTGTCTATGTACTGTGTCATATTTATATCTTTTAAGGTCCTCCATGAGGGACATCTTTTTCTGGGCCTCCTCTGAGTTTCAAAAGGAGTCATCCTCGCTAACAGATGGTTCTTGTTGAGATTCCTAAAGTTTTAATAATATTTACTTCTTCATGGTTGTCATGTTTGAAATTCTGGCCTGAGATTTTTAAATTCTTGAGGCTGTCCAAATCCTTATCAAAACTCTTGCTGGATGCCTATAATAATTAGCAATGGCTCTAGTAAGCTCACTTCTATGTAAATTATATCATGAGAGGAATGTATTTATTGGGCAATACTAGGTCGTCATAAATCGATGGCCGTTTAATATCAACGATTTAATATCGAAGAATTTTATTCACGAACTGTGTCCAAGCGAGGTTGGTCCAAAAGTGAGAGTAATAAGATCCCACTTGAGTACCGATTCTTCAAAACTAGGGCTTAGTTATAAAATGTTTATCCTATAGAGAACTCTTTTGCTGTCAACTACGAATCGATTTTTCAAACTTCAACAAAGGGACAAATCGAGCCTTGTAGATCAAAAACTAACAGGGATGGGGTCAAATAGCCTACATCTTCGGAGCATGATTCCTTAATCTGAGTGGCAAGGATAAGGGCTGTATACGCTTCTTGTTCATTCTCATATCTTTCCTTAATCTTTTCCCAATCCTGGAATGGAGCTAGCTCTAAGCTGCTACTGAAGCAGGACAAGTTGTTCTTGCAGGGAGAGCTGTCAGGCTCAAGCAAGAAGCAGTCTAAGTTACTTTGCAAAGGGTTTTTCAGCGGATGCATAAATTTATTTAATTACTTCAACCACCTTCACCTAATATGGGGTTTTGGGGTTTTGGGGTTTTGGGGTTTTGGGGTTTTGGGGTTTTGGGG